TAGTGAATGCTGACTCAGCATTTATTTGTAGTGAATGCTGACTCAGCATTTATTTTTAGTGAATGCTGACTCAGTGTTTATTTGTATTGAATGCTGTTTATTTTAATGAATGCTGACTCAGCGTTTTACACAATGACCTGTTTTATCAGGTTTATGATGTAGATTTATAAATCCTCTGCTTGCAGAGTAAAAACGGGAACCCTTACCTCCACCCTGAGCAGTGCCAGCAGAACGAAGATGAGATGGACGTTCCTCAGCTGCAGTTTAAATCTGGAGCCCGTCTGAGCGGCTACATCAACGAGGAGGACATGTCTCCTCTGTCTCTGTCTCAAACTCCCAACGGTTACTTCAACACACCAAAGCCCACCGACGTGCCCACCTCAAAGAGCTGGTCTCCAGCTGGTGTACAGTCTTCTCCGTTCAGAGCCCTGTTTCCAAACCCCTCCTATAACCTGACGATAGAGGGCGGGGACCAGCTGGTCTCCTCAGGACCTGGAGTCCTGTCTGGGCTGGACAGCTCCTGTGGGTACAAGCCTCAGGGTTCTGTGGAGACCTTCAGTCTGATCCAGGACCAGCAGGACTTTGGGATCATCTGTAACCAAGGTTACATTTTGGCACCAAACACTTCTTAACACTAGTTAACTCGTTTATTTGACCCATTCTTGTGGTTAAACATTAACCAGGTGAGGCTTGACTCGTGCAGCTAAATGTTTACCTGCTGTGACTTGTAGTTGGCAGATATGGAGATGACTCTTTATCAAAGACACTGAATAAATACACAAAGGGCTTGCCGTAAAACGGTTCAGCTCCAGAATGTTCTGTGGTTCTACTGTTAAAGGAAACACGTCTAATATTCATTTAWTAACTAATTAAACTGCTGTGAGACGTTTAAACACATAAACACCACAAACTACATTTTACAAACTTTGAAGAACGTTTTTGTTGCGTTCAGACTTTGAGTCAGTTTTTTTAACCTTAAAGTGTTTTTAAATTGCTTTGATTACTTTGTTTCATTTGAAACATTTCTCTGCTGCTTTAAACAGTTTCAGCTGTTTGTTGTTTTCATCATAAAGTTTGATTTGATTCAATCTTCTTTGTTCTTTTAAAACAGTATTTTCTAACTCAGTATGTGAMCAAGAAAAACAAATTATTTGTTTTAGCAGCTGCAGGATTTATTTGTTGTCATGAGTTCCAATGGGTTTAAACTAGTTAAAAAAATTAAATTAAATTTTTAAGCTAGCTAGTTTAAAACTGGTTTAAACCAATTTAAACTGGATAAAAACCAGTTTTAACTGATTCTAACTGGATTTAAATAGATTTAAACTGGTATAATTTGTTTTAAACTGGTTATAATTGGTTTTAAATGGCTCTAAACCGATTTAAACTGGTTTTAAACTGGTTTAAATTGGATTTAAACTGATTTAAATTGGATTTAAACTAGTATAAACTGTTTAAACTGGTTTAGATTGGATTTAAACAGATATAAACTGGTTTAAACTAGTTTTAAACTGATTTAAACCAGATTCAACTGCATTTCTAATGATTTACACTGGTCTTACAAAAAATGTAACTGGTTTAAATTGGATTTAAGCTGGTTTAAATTGAATTTAAACTGGTATAAATGGGTTTAAACTGGTTTGAATTGGATTTAAACTAATATAAACTGGTTTAAACTAGTTTTAAACTGATTTAAACCAGTTTCAACTGCATTTCTAATGATTTACACTGGTCTTACAAAAATTTAAACTGGTTTAAATTGGATTTAAACTGATTTAAATTGGATTTAAACTAGTATAAACTGTTTAAACTGGTTTAAATTGGATTTAAACAGATATAAACTGGTTTAAACTAGTTTTAAACTGATTTAAACTGGTTTCAACTGCATTTCTAATGATTTACACTGGTCTTACAAAAATTTAAACTGGTTTAAATTGGATTTAAGCTGGTTTAAATTTAGTTTAAACTGGTTTGAATTGGATTTAAACTAATATAAACTGGTTTAAACTAGTTTTAAACTGATTTAAACTGGTTTAAATTTAATTTCTAGTTATTTAAACTAGTTTGAATTTAATTTCTAATTATTTAAACTGGTCTAAACTAATTTAAATTGGATGTACACTGATTTAAACAGTTTTAACTGGAATTACACTGACCTAAGCTGTGCTGAACAGAATCTGCTGCAGTTTATCTTTTTGATTTAAAGATGTGAAATATTTTTGTCTCCTCGTTTTAATAAGTCTTGTTTTGCTGCTGCTGTTTGAGTGACAGCAGGGGGCGCCACAGGAGCACAGACAGATGTTTTCTGTATGTTTATGTTTTTTATGTTTTTTATTTCTTAAATAAAACATTGAAACAACAGAACGTTCCTACATTTCTGTAAAYGATGCTGAAATCTGTTGAAAATGAGCTGCTAAAGTTGTGGAATAGAGGCTAAAATGAACTAAATGGAGGCTAAAGCCACTGGACCGCCCACGTTCTGTTTGACACATTTGTTATTTTTTTAATGGTATTTTAGGTCTGAATGTTAAGGAGCTAAAGGCTAAAGGCAACAGAATGGTAAATATAAGCTTAGATTAGCAGATCAGAAGCTAAACGTGGGTAACATGCTAACAGTTGTAAAGCAGAGACATGAAATAGTTTGAAACATTTTTGCTCTCAGTTCTTCCTTCGCCTGTTTCTTGGRATGATGTCATCCTGCTGATAACTTTCAGCTGTTTTCATCACATTCCAGCAGATCTGGACCCTAACAGCCGARGGTCCTCAGAGGAACGTCAGCTTCACTGAGCGCAGTTTTAGATTCAACATGAAACATTTTCTGTGGGGATTCACTAAAACCTGAAACTTGTTTCAGTGACATGAGGAGGTGACGTGTGGCGTTAAAGATCGACACAAACAACAACACTTCATCAGCTCCGATTCTTCTCTTCGGCTACGAGCTGAAGACTCGTCTGTAAACAGCTCGACAGTTTTAGCTGCTCCACCTACGGCAGAACTGTCATTATGTTTCTGATAAACACAAGACCTGTCATCACACACACACACACACACACACACACACACAC